CACATATATATATATATATATATATATATATATATATATATATATATATATATATATATATATATATATATATACAGCAATATACACAGCAATATTATATATCTGGCGCACATGTCATTCGTAATTAGTTTTCACTAACGTTTCTCAACCATGTTAAAACTTTTATAAAATTTCTATATTTTAATTATTTTACTAAACATTTTATTTAAATTACATTATTTTATTTATATAATCTACATAAACTTTAGTTATTATGATATTTACAACAAGGTTAATTTATTTCACAATTTAATACATATTTTATTTTCTATATTTTCACATTTTACATTAGGCATTTACTTTAATTAAATTATATGTTTAAACAATATTTAGGCTCTGAAGATGGCATTACGCCGAAACAGGGCTGTTAGCTTTATTCCAGTTTTAGATAAATATGAACTCAAACAATACCGCCTCGTTGAATGTCTTATAAAGAAGTTAATTAATGCAAAATGGGCAAACAATATATATAGATATATATATATATATATATATATATATATATATATATATATGTAGGCACACACATGAACACATACATACTTAAAAAAATACATACAGATACTCATACATACACACACATTGATTTTTTCCACCTGGCCTCAACTTAATTTAATTCAATTTAATTTAAGAATGGAAGTCTTAAATTATATAATACATTCATGAACATGACGATGATGATGTTGATGACTATTTTCTTTACTGTATGGTAATAATGATTAATTTATGATTAAAATGATAATGATAAGAGATGGTTGATGATATAGGGCAAGGTTTGATAAGCATATGTTTAATATATCTGTCTGCGTGTGTTGTATACATTTTGTATGTATATTATGTTGTACAAATTATTTGTACATACGTTTATACTGCTTGATTATGCATATTGCATGTGTAAAGTAATATGTGCTTAGGTACTTACATGCTTACGTACGTACTGAACCAATATAAAAGACAGTCTGTGGTTTTACCGGCATACACTATCTAAACACAGGCAGACTGATGGTGATCTGCTGAAGTTTCAATTTGGTTGACAATATAATGTGGCACTAAACTCATTATGCTCTATAATAAAATGGGTTTAGATTGTTTGTTTCTTTTACTTGTATGTTTTTTTTATTGAATTTGTTGTTGATTTAGTTGTTTTCTTTCCTCAAATATTATTGTTGCAGTAGTTTTGTTTCGATGGTTGTTGATGCTGTCTCACTGTGTTTTGTTGCTGGTAATACTGATGTTACATTTCACAGAAAAAACACATGCACCCTAATTTAGAATACAATTTGAATTACTCACAAATAATCCTGAATTTCTTTTTGTTTCACTTCATATTTATTATTTTGCAGTTATCTCAGTTCCTTCATTCAAATGCCTCTTTCAATATCAGTTAAGAGTAATCTTTATTTGAGCAAACAAGCTAGTAGGACACTCAGAGATATCTTAAATAGGAATGTAATGTTGAATAATTATCACCCGGCACTCAGTGTATGGTGACGTGAATAAATAGAAAGTGTGTAGCAAAACAAGGCATGCGATTTTTTTGCATGGAAAGTTATCTGAAAGTTGACATAAATACACTTTTACTACAATTCACAAAGATTGTTCACAATTTTTAATAAATATTTGTCAGCGAGTGACTTTATTTGTTTTTTGTGTTATATCACAGTTATATTTTTGTTATATTCGTGTTATAAATTTGTGTTATATATTTGTGTCATAATCACAATCACCACAAAACGACAGGGACGCTACTTCACCATCCACATCACTCCGGAAGATGAATTTTCGTATGTCAGTTTCGAAACCAACGTACCAAGGGTTAGTCTGTGTGTTTCTGTGTGTGTACGTGAATGTATGTATGCGTGTGTGTGTGTGTGTGTGTGTGTGTGTGTGTGTTGTGTGTGTGTGTGTGTGTGTGTGTGTGTGTGTGTGTGTGTGTGTGTGTGTTTAAGGATTAAAGTACGGCTTGTTTTGTTTCATCATCATTATCATTATTAATATTATTATTATCATCATTATTTTTGTCGTATATTCTGTTTAATAATTGTTTTCAGCATATTCAATTTTTAAATCATAGTATCATAATAATAAATTTGAATTTTTGTATCTTCGTTTATTAATTTTGAGTAATTATCAATGAATGAATACTGTCTATTGACAATTTAGCTACGAATCCATTCAGTCACCTGTATCTATCTACCTTCATAGGTTTTTTTTAAACGCTTATGTCTTCCTATGCATTAGTTATAAAGGTTTATGTAATGTGTAATGGCTGGGTTTTATGCCACGGTACTGTTTTGTTATTATTAATACTTTAGATTTAGTATTTTGGAGTTGAGCTCTTGTTTGATGAATAGCATTGATGACAGACGGATAAATATTGTTTGTATCAGTACGGGATAGTTGAAAATATCTGATGATTAGGTAGATGAATTCGAAGAGAGAAAAAAAGATGGATGGATGGATGGATGGATGGAGGGATGGATGGATGGATGGATGGATGGATGAATAGATTTTAGTATATATATATATATTGGAAATTTTCCACACAAACCAACTGCTTATTGGCCCAGGTGTATTTTTTCAAATTAACCCAGGTGAAAATTGCTAGGCACATTTCAATGTTCATTATTCTCTTTGATTATTTCATCTTTCTCTATCTTTGCGTTTTCATCATTCTTCAAGTGTAGATTTCGTTTATTTATTTATTTTTGTTTTTGCTATTATTAAGTACTGAACATGTATTAAAAATCAGTAAAAATTAATTAAAATAGTAAAGCTTTATTCCCTTTATAATATCTGGCCTGTGTTAAATCTATACGGTCAACACTTTCTTCACCCACTAGTAGTAATTTTACCTCTGCTGTATTTTATGGTATGGTATGGAGAATTTATATAGCGCCCCTCTATGTAAAACTCAGAGGCGCTGTAAGAGAAGCTGCCGGTCATAAAAGTGATGTTTAAGTCGTTTTCGGAACATGTCTCTTTCATCCATACTATCAACGACATCATCGGGCAGTTTATTCCAAACCTCCGCTGCAGCCACGGAGAAACGACGCCGTCCATAATTTTCTGTCCTGAACCTAGGAACAACGAATTTCTTTTTGGCAGAGGATCTGAGTTTTCGCCCCCCGGCAGCCGTAGGGACAGGCACGATCAGCTGTTGAAGGTATCGAGGACCAAGCCCCATCAAACTGTCTCTTGTAAACATTGCTATTCTGAATTTGATTCTATAACAAACTGGCAACCAGTGAAGCTCATTTTGCATATATGATGAAACAGATTCATATTTTGTTACACCAGCAATTATTCTTTATACATGGTCAGTTTTATGAAAAAGCAATTTTAGCTACCTAAATTTTTACTTATGCTCCCTTGAATACCTTATTAGTACATTTAGAATTAATTTATTAGGTCCATCCATTCAACTCAACTTTGGTGTCTTGATGAACTATTGTGCCATATTTGGCTGAACTTTGACCTTACATTAAACCCTCTCGAACTTTTCTTTAGTTACAGTCCTATTTATTTCAATAAAACGGTTCTCGAGTTATTCATTAATATTGTCTTATATATTGTTATATTATGTGCCATTATTTTCAATATCTCATCATATACAATATTTCATCAGTCATATATGTTTATGTATTTTTTGATGATTTTACACGTTCGTAAACACACACACGCACGCACGCACGCACACACACTTCATATACTCACATATATGCAGGATTCTTACAACGATTTGATCACCAAAGTTACTGATATCTTTCAACCTAACAAGTTCATTGTTACTCTCATGGCTAATGAGGTTGTTGTGGCTGTTTGTTGTGGTTGTTTGTTGTAGTTGTGGTTGTTGTTGTAGTTGTGGTTGTTAATGCAGTTGTTGTAGTAGTTGTGGTTGTTGTTGTTGTAGTTGTGGTTGTTGTTGTGGTTGTTATTATAGTTGTAGTTGTGGTTGTTGTGGTTGTTATTGTAGTTGTGGTTGTTGTTATTGTTGTTGTAGTTGTGGTTTCTTGATTTTGTGATGTAATTGTTGATTTAAATAATGTTGTGGTTTTGCTACGCTAGGATTTGTGGTTTCCAAAACATTAAAATGTAATAATAAAACTGGTGATGATGATGATAATGATGTTAATAAAGTATATATATATAAGTGGAGACGGGGGCAACAAATGATGACACTTCAACTCGGCTCACTGTCTCTATATTGTTATTCTTGATCTTTGGTTCTCTTGACCTGTAACCGATTTTATTTGCTTTTTTGACTTTGTACTATATAGAAATTTATTAATCTTATCAACTTTAGGTCCCGGTTTGTTGATGGTATGATGGTTTTACAAAATCACGGTACGACATTGTTGCGGTTGAAATTCGTTTAATTAAAACTTTAGTGCGAAGTTAAATATTACAAAGAATAACAATTATGTCAAACTTAGCTTGAGAGACCTAATCAACGTATAAAAACACGTCTACATCAATGTAAGAGTGGTAAACATAGACCTCAACTCAACATAGACAATCTGAACACTAAAATAACCACCAACACCGACAGGCATCGCCAGCTTACAAGCTTTGCCTGAAGATGGATGGTCCAGTGAAGCCATTCAGACGCACAGAGCACCAGGCATGCGAGATGAAGAATTACAATTTGAATTATGCTCTGTACGAGCGTCCTCCCACCTCCAAACTCATCCCCTACAAGTGAGGACTACTGGGCCACCACAGCGAAATCACCCCTGGTCATTTCTCTCTCTTTCTCTTTCGTTCTTATCTCTCTTTCTTATCATCTTCGTCGTTACCTTGTTACGGAGTCTTGGAAAGCATGTTGAATGTATTGGATCGTGTCGTTTGTGGTTGTTTTCCGGTGATACGATGTTGCTGTTTGCCGCCATTTTGTTATCATTCTTGCTCTCGATTGCTTTTCATACTTCTCATCAATTTTTCTTTCATTCTGTCTCGCCATCTTCCTTCTGTCTCTTCATCTGACTCTTGCACTGATGACCAGTTGACATGTAGCAGGCGCTGTGGTGTGCTCCAGAACGTTCGAGCTGGTGAATTCTCGAACAAAATTTTGTCGGAAAAATTAGTTTGTAAAGAAACATTGATTCGTCTAAAAATTATTTCCAATCATATTTATGATTTCTTTTCATATTTGATCGTTTGTAATTGGTATAATGAATTTATAAGCAATAAGAGTAAAATGTTAATTAGAATATATCGTGAGGATAATATTAGTCTGGAATACCTTTTATTAAGAAATATTTCTTGTGAAAGTTTCATTGGTAAAGGTGTTTATAGCAACTCAACGGTTGATAATTTAGCTCTATTTCTATGTAATAGATTTCTAATTAGAATTATGTTTTACCTGAATAGTAACGCTTTAATCGTAGCTGCAGAGTATAATTTCATGAACTATCAATTAATTGTAAGCAACTATTTAAGAAACTACTCGATTTTATTGATTGATATTTATATGTATATGATGTTTTTATTTAATTTTCTTATATATAGCAACTTCATTTGTTTTCTGTACATGCGCTTCCTCTGCCAGATCGATGTTAAACAGGTGCTAGCCATTTTATCAATTTGTTCCGCCGACAAAATGGTCAACACTCGGCCCGCTTTGAAACGTTTTCAGTCTGTGAAGAATTCAAAAGCTGTTCGCCACGAGAATGTTGATTCTTCATATTTTTGTAAAGCTGATAGCAACCGCAAGAAAGAAACATGCCATGTTACGGCCCGTAAACCGTTTAATGAAAATTTGGAAAATGATATTTTTATAAAAAAGCTCAAATTACGCGAAATGTTTTACATTAAAATGCGCAAACAACCGTTTCGAGTTAGGAACGTTTCAGTTTTCAGAAGGAACTCGATCTCGGCAGGGGATTCGTTAGAAATTGTTTTTTACTGGCTGTCGACCCAGGGCAAAAGGAAACTTTGGCTCAAGGTCAGTCTGTCTGTCAGCCGCGAGCCCAGTTAATTTTGTTAGCAGCAGCATTCGTTGGTTACAAACTCATACTTATTGATACATTGGTACAATAGTAGTACATTGGTACAATTTAAGTACACTGGTACAAACCTTTCCTCTCCATGAGCCGGAAATAAGGCAGACTGTTGGAGAAATTTATATCATAAATCGATTTAATTTTAAATCATGTGTTCCGTTCTTTATGATATATAATGGGTTGTGTATCGTACTTGCCGTATTGCTGAGGCGGTCGAAACAAGTCTCGAGATGTTGACATGCTTTCTCTGCATCATGTGAAATGATAGGTGGACTTTGAAGAAAATCTTCGTGAGTGGTGAACCGATTTAAACACCTATCAATTTGAAAGACTAGTTTTATGGTGAGGTGTGAAGAGAAACTTCTGCGAAGTTATTGAAGTAATTTAATTTAAGTTTCATAGAAACAAATTTTTGTAAGAGTTTCAAAAACTGCTGCTGCTAATAACGTTAACTGCTCTACAGAAAATATTCTTGTATTTTTTTTAAATATTTTCAAAACTACTTGCGTTTTTCTGTTTTTCATTTTCTTACTTTGCTATTCATGTTTATTTAATTAATCTAAAATTGCTTAATGATTTATTTTAATATAAAAACATTCTATTTATTTGGAATTGCGTTATTTCCCCATTGACTTCGTTTTTATGAATCATATGTCGATATTGTTTTGTTATAGTTCAAAATATTATATATGAACACTAAATTTCCTAATTATTATGTTAATTAAGTGAAATTATACAACTTTAATAGAAATCATATAATGACTACGTTTAGAATTTTAAAAATAATCCGTATTTTGTTTTATTAGATATTTTGGTTAGATTATTTTATTTAAGTTTTGAAAAGAAAATTTTGAAGTAACTTAAAAGAATTTGTTGAATGTAACTTGATTTTTATTTAGTTTGTCAACTTTTTAATCATTCTTTAAATACTTGAAATTTCTGCAAAAAAAATATTCGACTGCTTGAATAATTATTTTTCAATCAATAATTAACTTGGTCTCAATAATTCTTACCGAAAATCAAGGTTGTTTATCTTGAGTTGAGTTCATCAAACTATGTTAAAACGTCACTCAATACCAAAACATGTTAAATTTTTTAGTGGTTTACGTAGCGTAGAAGCAATTTAAGTCGACTGCTCGGTAGTTATCTCGTTTCGTTTCGTATTGAATCGTTAGGTTGAATTTTTTTTTAGAAGACAACATTTAAATATACGATGAAGATGAGTGAATAATTGAACATTTTTTGGTGTTTTAGAGACTCGAAAATGGTTACGTTCTTCTGAAAAAGGGTGCAAAAATATATTGTAAATATTAGCAACGGTTGTATTTTAAATGTGGCTTCAGATGTTGGGGATGGTGACAGTCGGCGGAAAAAGAGTTCAAAAATTGAAAACTTTTTTATTTTCACTCACTTGATGAAGTTACTTGGCTGGCGTGAAAATGTATATCTTTCCGGCGCGTGTCGTGTATGAACGAGAAATGGTAAAATGTATATAAAACATTTTGTGGAACTTGGATGGATTTGAAAAGGTTGTTTGGAGATTTCGACCGATTGGAAATACAAAATGTTTGCAAAAGATTTCAGGAAACATGTACAAAACAGAAAAAGTTGTTTTCATTTTGAGTGATTGAACGAATAAGACAACATAAATTCAAAAGTTGTGCTACATATTACGATAGCGAACACGAGCTGTTTAAATTTAAATTAAAATTATTAATCAGTGTGTGATCGTTCACAAAATAGAACAGGCACTAACAATTCGATAAATTATGAAGCTGTGGATCACTTGAGATCTATCGAATAAAACGTTTGATTCTGGGTATACTTATTACTTATGGAAAGAATATTGACGGCTATTATACAGTTGAACATTTCACAAAAGATTATACAATATTATGATTATGGACACATTTCTTAATCCAAGAAGCTCATATGGATGTGGTATCAAAATAAAATCGAAAAAAACTTCAATACAAGTTGAGATGAAATAATATTGAAAATTTTGTGGGACTGGAATGGTTGTTCACAGTGGCGGATCTGGACAATTTTGACGAAGGTGCCAAAATTTTGAAAATGTTTAATGCCCCCGGCTCTCTCCTGGATCCGCCACTGGTCATTTAAAATAAAATAGTTCTCCAGAAGACAATCTTTACGAGTTGATGGAAATGTTTTTAAAAGGATTTTCAGAAAATACGAAAATACTGCAGGGAAGGATCCTGGTAGGTAGTGAAAACGATGCCGATGGTGGTTATGTTACGATGGTGCGTGCCGTATTTTTTATCCACTGACAAAATTTGAAACATGACACTGCGAGAGGGATTAAAATATCAAGCTGATGTAAAAAAAATGTTTAGTGGTTTAAAATTGACGATTAACAATTGTGACGAAAATTAAAATAAATTTAATTGATTTAATTTATATCAATTGGAAAGTTTCCAAGCAGTAATTTGTTTCTGGCGTGCTCTGGTTTAATTTTGTGTTGAACGGTCAACCGCGATATTAGGTGCAAGTGAACCATCCAAGCACTATTTTGGCTTTTTTGAAACGACTCATGGAATGAGTTGATGTTGAGTTGATGTAATTTTATAGAAGCCCTGCTGCATGAGCAGGTACATTACCACTGTGCGTTATGCAATTATATTTTTAAAAATTTTCAATGCTCGTTAATTTTCTCAAACTTGATCAAATGATATAAAGTTTTGTGACAATATTTATTGTGTTTTAACTTCAGTTACTTTTAACCTGTTGTTTATCAATAGTGTAATTATAGGTTCTAGACAAGCATTTCAAAATGACAACTTTGATCTCTCCTTCATTAATTTAAAATTTCTCTTTAATTATACAATTCGAGTTTTGATAGAAAAAGTCAGTATAATAAGAATACATCCGTCTCGTTATCAACACAAGATTTTTTCATATATGTATGCGCGCACACACACACACACACACACACACACACACACACACACACACATGTATATACAATACACCTACATTGTCTACAATGAATCCAAATTTGAATTTGCGTGATGCCAACCATTGTTCGACGGACAATTAAAAAAATAATTTGAAACACTGATGTACTTAATCATCTCATCTCATTCATTCGCTCACTCATTCCTATGTATGCCCGTTGTCTTAGATACACACGTGTCTCCTGATTCAAATACAATACGAAACGATACATAAATCATATGATTCACATAACATGACGTATGATATAATACAATGTGATGCATACATACACAAACATGTGTTTGCGTATGGTCTCAGATGCACATATACAATGTATATATGTTGTTTATGTGTCTTTTTTAGCTAAACACACACACAAGCAGACGCGGATGTGAATTAGACGCGTCATTTTCAACGTACCTTCATGATGATACCATAGATTTCTCGAAGTAGCTTCGACCAGGCTGTTATTATAATACATCTAGACATCTATGGGTGACACACACACATTCACAGACAGATAAAAACAATTACAATTTGACGACGAAGAATCAATTTTTTTTTTCAAATGTTTTGGGGAATAGTTTTTCAAATCTTTATTTTCATCATATTTGTTCACCAACTGGCAGTTTTATTCTTGAAGCTTGCATTTTGATGTATCGGTTTAGTCTCGTCAAATTTTTTTTATATAAAAGTTTTCAGAAAAAAATGAATTTTTATATTAGCAGTCAAGCTGTATGAAAATCTCCAAGTGAATAAGTTTCATTGTTGACGGTGATGTTGTTATTAAGCAGCATTTGAAAGCTGCCATAGATTTATTTAACAAATTTCGTGTTTTGAAGTAGAACCAACATTCAAAACAAAAACAAGACACACGATTTGTAATCTTTTATTATTAAGTTAATTTCTACACTCTTTTTTTCTACAATTTCATTAAAATAGCTAAATTCGAACTTATTATTGGAACAAGTCTTTGTTAAAACTAAACAATAATGTAGAGGGTATATAAGGTAGGAGTAACCTGGCTAGATTACAAAGTCACAATGCTAATGTTCAATGAGCAGTGCTAGTTTAGTAACATACACATAAACACACACACAAATCTTACATGTAAACACACACACACAAACATGTGTACAAACACACATGCAGAAATACATACGTACAGACAAACCTCATAACACACATACACGTGCTCAACTCATACCTACGCAAAATAATTTTTTGAAATTATATTTTAGTACAAACAAATTGTTGCTCTTTTAAAACAGTAAACAGTAGTGGTGAATGAAGATGAGGAAAATGATGACAAAGATCCAGATAACGTTGGCAGGAGGGCCAAAGTTTTACAATTCATTGATGGGGTGCCAAAAAACCTCTCCCCTCATTTTTTCCTGGTGTTGGGTTTACTGATTCCTTGACTGGTTGACTGGTTCCCTTACAACTGCCACTGCTAATAATAATACTAGTAATAATAATAATAATAATAACAATAATAA